TTTGTCATGGGGCCCAAGATTCCTGGCAGTGCCCTTGATTCTGAGAATGGCACACTTATATCACAGGATACATTTAATGGGGCTTCCAGCAGCTGTCGGACAACAAAACACCTCACAGATATTCCAGTATGTTCACCTCCTGAACTAAATCAGATTAACAAATTAGTTGAACTTAACTGTAAGTTTCAGAAATAGATTTATTTACTTGATCGGCTTTCTAGTTTATGGGGTTCTGCCACATTATATCAGTCTGTTTAGAACTTTTATGGACAGAATGTCTGGGCAGCCATGGTGCTGAGGGGTTTCGGTTTGGTGGTCTCAGGATTGGGTCTCTGTTTTTTGCTGTTGGCTTCATCAGATTGTGATCTCCTAGAGCTTAGCTTTACACTGCTTAGTGTAAAGGAGCCTTGATGCAAATCCAGTATCTTCTGCATCTCAGAACATGGTCTTGAAAAGCTGGAAACTGGTAGAGTGCTTCTCCAGGTTTTGGACAAGGTCCTGCCCCAAGTCAACCGATAAACAGAGTGATGTGGGCACTCTACTGACTGGTTGACTGGTTAGTTGACTGGTTGGTTGACTGGTTGGTTGGTTGATTGGTTGGTTGGTATGTGTGTGTGCGTGTGTGTGTGGGTGGGTGGATGTATGGACGGACGGACGGATGGATGGGCAGGACTTCAGTGATGTCATTAATGTGCCACATCAATGTGTTGAGCAATGATGTATGAGATTTGATGATGTATCAGGGAGATATGACTATTCCAATAACGTAGGAACAATTTTGGGCGGAAAAAGAATAATAATAAGAATTCCTTCAGATACAATAGGCCTTCCCAACGCTTTTGCTGCTCTGCCTAATAAAACAGAAGACCATAAAAGAGATATTCACAGGACAGACGTGACAGGTCTCACCTGAGGAACGCTCTGCCTCAGATTGTAATGCCTAGCCAGGAATGCCAGCAATTTGGTGGAAGGTCTGTCATATGCCAACAACACTGGCTCCACGTTCTGATGCTACAGCAATGAAAAATGGACAATAACAGTTAGTCTGTAGCAGAAAACAATAATCTTCTACACTAATAATCAGAGGGATGTAATTTTTTTCAGAATATATGTAAGAAGTTTACACATATTATTGATAGAATTGCATTAAAAATGCATGATTTAGGTCAAACATTTTAGATATACTCCAATAAGCTTCTCCGCACAGTTTTATGGACTTTTGATCCGTTCTTCCTGACAGAACAGGTGGAACTGAGTCAGATTTGTAGGCCTGCTTGTTAGCTCATGTCTTTTCAGTTTCCTACTGCACAGAGATCAAGGCTTTGTGATGACCGCCCCAACACATTTTACCTTGTTATCCTTATGCCTCTTTCCATACCACTTTAGCTTGGTTGTATGCTTGGGGTCATTAACCAGCGATCAAAGCTTTAATTTTCTAGCCTTTTTCTTGAGATGCTGCTTTAATATTTAAACATTTATTTTGTAAAGAGCCCAGTCCCTCACGCAACAAAATACCCACACATTACGGTTCTGCCCCCATGATGCTCTCAGGTAATCTACATTATTTTTCTTATGACTTCCAGAGGTAACCTTCTAGGTGCAGAGGGATGAGTTCCACAGACTTCATCTGTATTACCAAAAGATCCGCAAAGTTTAGAAAGTCTGCAAAATATGTGCAAAACAAAATCTACTACAGTTGATGGTGCACAGTTGAAAAACATTCAATCAGTGATCCAAACTCTGGTCCGTTTGGTGACCACCACTACAGTGTGAAGTTAAGTCTTTCACATAAATTATAAATGGCAAATAGTAAACAACTCATGAGAATACATGTAATTCAACACAGTGTGAATCAGTTGCAGCATACAAAAAGGTTTAAGAATTTAGTTACAGTATATATGCATGAGACAGCCATAGTTAGTGCATAAGTTCTTCTTCAGCTGGAAAAAGAACATACACACTAGCCAAGCAGCAAAGTGATTTTACTAATCAAGATGATAAACTTTTCTTGCACTTCATAAAGTGGAACTGTTCGCATTTATGTCAGTGTTCCTTTCTGTGTAACCCTCTCTTTGGGACTGTTTTTTCTCATTTCTGTTGAAAATGATTTTGTTTGACCAATATTTGATCACCTAACTATATCTATTTAAATAAGTCTGGAACAACTATTGGCTAATTAGGATACAGAATGAGACCTGTTGATCCCCCTGCTGGCTCACATGCATCATTCCAACTCTTATTCATATTTTATTACCAGATTTTTATGGTGTAACATCTAGAAGCTTTACCTGTAACATAAAATTGAATAGTTCTATCCCATAGCCATGTCGCTGTAAGTTTTCTGCAATGTAGAAATCCAAAACACAGAGTGGCTCTACTTCGATGTGCACACCATTTCGATCCTAAAACAAATAAGAGTTAAAGAACTGTGATTTGGAATTAGAAAATGAATAACTGTATTAAAATAAAGTTATAGACTCACAAGCAGAAATAATTTCTTGTAGCCAACCTTCAGAAATCCCACAACCACACCTCGTCCTCTGTGTGTAAAATACATGAGAGAGAACTGCTATGAGTACAGACGAACATAAGACATGTGGGTCTGGCATCAGCATAGCTGTCAATAGAACCAAACTTCAACATATTTTAATGTAATTAACATCATCTTACAACAAAAGTCACTTTAGGCCAGATTTCAAGTCCCCACAAAATGAAATGTGAATGAGATTTTGTGGGGAATAGATTATAGATTAAAATCTATAAGCGTACTTATAGATTTTATTCTATAAGTACACTTAGACTGTTGAGACTGTGTAGATTATTCCCAGGGAGTCAATGTAATTCAAATAAATTCTACCAGTTCTAATAAGAAAAATAGAAATATGTCCTAAGACTTTGTTCAGACTGCAAGATTTGGAAGAAAGAAATGAGTGAGAGAAAGAAAGAAACACATTCAATTTAAATGTTAACATAGAACATGTTCTACTTGTTCCATGAACATGTATGAACATATTAGTCCATGAAACAATAGTGGAAAGGAAGTGAAAGCAAGGACGTGGGGTTTACCGGCTGCTCTCTCCGTCCTTCATCAGGTACAGCTGATGCTTCTGGAACTGCAGTTTGGAAGCACTTGTTATAGGAGCTGGGAGGTCTTGGGCCTGTAGTAGCACCAAAGAATAAACATGATTACATTCAAAGATGTCCATAAACTTTGCTTTAAGCGTGGTGCATGCAGTGATACCAAACTACCTAGAAGCATATTTGCAGTGAATCTGTTGTCAATATGTGATGTGGGAAACCAGTTTTGTAAGAAATTAGAAAGATTTTTGTTCATCAGAAGATCCTTTTACCCGACCAAAAAACATCAACCCCAAACAACCCACTCACACAAAACAGACAGGAACTCACCTTTGCTGAGGCTTTCCCAAGTTCATCAAGAACTGTTGCAATTTTGACCCGGAGATCTGGCCTGTGAAGTTCCACACAGCAAAACAAACATGGAGAAACAGGATTCAGCTTCTATGCACCACAAATATAGAATAAACTTCCAGAAAACTGCAAAACAGCTGAAACACTGAGTTCCTTTAAATCAAGACAAAAAACCCACCTTTTTAGAGTTGCTTTTGAACCACAAAAAACACTGACCAACATATTTGATGTGTATGATTTTGGTGATGGAACTCATTAAAATATGTAATGTCTGTTGCCTGTATGGTGGTTTCTTTATAACTTTCCAATTTTGTATTTTTATGTAAAGCAGTTCGAACTGCCTTCCTACTGAAATGTGCTATATAAATAAACCTGGGGGGATGGATAGATGGATGGATGGATGGATAAACAGACAGACAGATTTTAATGGTCAAGTTTCTGAGACCTTCAAGAACTGCTGACTACAGTGCATACTTTAAAAGAAGGAGATTCAGTCGAGATTTCCTGAAGCCAACCAAGTGAGCAGCACAGATAAACGGAGCAGTTATTTGCGTAAACACATAGTCATGTTTTAACCTACTTTTCTTTAGATTGGCGACTTGCAATAAGATTCTGGTCCAGAATGGAGATCCTCTCAGAGAATAACTGATTAATGTCAAAAGGAAACTCCATGGCGCAGACTTGCTGATAGCTGTGATATACTACAGTTCAATGCTGAAGGAGGTTAGCTAGCTGAGAGGTTTCAGTCTCACTAAGCAACCACTAAACAATTTAGCGAGTTACTTCAAAGATGTTCACCGCTTAACGAGTCGAAACCGAAACACCACAACCATTTAAGACTGCAATTTCTAATTCTACAAGAAACTAAATAATGCTGTTTCATCTGCAGGCGTTATTTACACCGCTACTTCATTGTGTCGCTAAGGCACAGCGTCACTCCCAGTGTTACCGTAATAAACCGTCAGTTATTTAAAGCATTGTACTTGTTCTATTTTTGCAGACTTGCAATCAACATCTCCAAAGGGGAGTCAGAGCAACACACAATGTAGTTATTATCATGCATATATAGTAATACACAGTTCTATAAAATTAACTTTTTATTTCTTAGTAATTGTCTTAAAAATTGTAAAGGAGCAGGAAGTTCTGGTTTTACGGTGGGTTTTTTTTTTTTTTGTAACGTTGGGAGCACNCAGATCTAGTGCTGCTTAGCGTTTCGGAGCTGTCCAACAACTAACAAGGCTGAAACTTGAATGTAAAGCTTCAAATTTACAGATAGTCCATTTTTGACTTCTTTCGCTGAGATAAAGCGTTTTTGGCTTCTGGCTTGCTGAACATAAGCAGATGAACTATTTTCAGCTTAATACAGCCAGATATAGTGCTGCTCAGCATTTCGGAGCTGTCCAACAACTAACAAGGCTGAAAATTGAATGTAAAGCTGCAAATTCACAGATAGTCAATTTTTTGTCTTCTTTCGCTGAGATAAAGCGTTTTTGGCTTCTGACTTGCTGATCACTTGAATCTTAAGCATTAGACCTAATTCCAGTTTAATACAGCCAGATCTAGTGCTGCTTAGCATTTCGGAGCTGTCCAACAAGTAACAAGGCTGAAACTTGAATGTAAAGCTTCAAATTTACAGATAGTCCAT